TCTGAACTCTGGCCCTGGCAAACGGCAAAGGACAAGCCCAGTGTGCTGCTATCATATGTCAGCATGTTGAGGACTCTGAAGAGTGGGAGTGGGGGTGAGCTGAAAATACTTTGGCACTCTGTTCGGGTTCTTTAAAAAGAGCAGTAGTCCTGTTGCCACTGACCATATAATTCTGTCTGTTGATTGTGCTGATGGTCTGTTGGTTGTTTTGTTGGAGTGTTGCACAGAATGGAGCTTCCCCAGCTTGAACACGCTAGGCTCCGAAGACATGATAGCGCAGGTGAGATCACAGATTAACTACCTTTAAAGAGAGCATGTGTCTTAGCAATACCCAGACAAAAAACTGCAAGAAAATCTCTATTAATATGTGATTCAACAACATGGACACACTGAATGCAACATAAATATGAGTAAATAATTGAATGTGTTCCTACGAATCAATGAATCAACTTCCACTTTAAATGAAAATAAGAATACAAATCGCCCACAGACAATGAGAAATTGCGTGTGTAGCTTGCTTTATTTTTGATCTATACCATCATTGGTTGCCTTGTTTATAGGTAATACATTGATCATGAATGAGCAACAAAGAAGTGAAGTAAGGTTATGAGACAATAAAAGGCTCATGCACTTGAACAAGAAACTAAAACAGAAACTAAAACAAGCACACAAATAAGTGATCAGTGCGTCTTATCACAGAGATCATGGAGAGATTATTATTATATTCAATTTTTTTACTATTTGGTGTAATTTTCTCACGTGTTAAATGACTTCTTTTAAGTTGGACGAAATATAAAGAAACATTATAAAGCACTCCAATCCTGCATGGCTGTTGTTTTTGGAAGTACCTCTCCTACCAAGGAAAACAGCCAATAGAATAGTATGTTCCTTCTGTTGAGCTTATCCCAAGGCTAGCTGCCCTTTAAACATGGTCCAGAACTGGGTCACGATGTTCTCTGAAGTTTGAGTAGTTGACATTAAGGTTTGAGTACTTGGACTTGTGCAAGTGTCGCAAGCAAATGTCATGAGTGGCTAATGATGGCAGGGAGGATTTCACAGTACACTGTGTAAAGTACACTTTTTTTCAGAGGCTCAGTTGATTGACAAGTGGTTTCATAGGCAGGTGAGACCAGTTCCTTTGACTTTACACGACAGATGAATTTGACAAAATATCTGAACTTGATTTAAAGCTTCAGATTTGTATTTTATAGCTTTTTCTTGTAATTTCAAATATGACACCTAATAAGGCTGATAAACAAAAGTAAATCTAAAGAAGTGATAGGAAAATCTTTAGGAGTTTTAAAATCTGGATGGCTGATATATTCTTATAAAGGGTGCACTGACCAGCTCAGCAACACCAACAGGCTTGAAATACCACAAAAGACAACTTGGGGTCACTAATGTTTATTGTTGATTGGACTGCTGATAGTAGAGGTAGAAGGAATTCTGAGGTGGACAGGCCTATACTCTCTGTTCAGATTCAGCCAAATGTGGCAAAACTAATTGCACAGTCCATCACAGTGCAATAATGGATAATGATCCAAAGCACACTGCAAACCAAACCTGACCGAGTATCTCAAGCGTGTATTAAATTACTCCACTTTGGTGTATGAAGGGAAAACTACAAATATTGTGTCTTTATCAAACAAAGACTTAACTGTGGTGCAGATAGTCAAAGTTTTGCTCAAGTGCTCTGCTCAAAACTTGCAGGTTGTCTTTTTCTCCACACTTGAAATGAGATTTGGAGAAACAGCACACATCAGGAGCTACTGTTAGCACTGAGAAGAGAAACTGAAAGCCACAGGGAATAATTCAAAGCAATTGTTTCCAACTCTGCAGTGCAACTTGTTTTTTTTTATTACCACCACCTGACAGATCATTAAAACAAGTGATAACAATGGATATAAAAAGTTAATTTACCCTGGAGTGGCACAGAAGCACCATGAAAGTACTACACAGTCTTAGCTGAGTGCTGGATGTACAGTACTGTGCAAAAATGATCCACCCCGCATTTCTTTATATATTTGCTAGGAAAATGGGAAATCGGTGCATTAGTTTATTTTTATTTATTAAATTATGTGCAAACAAACATGAAAGTACAGCATAAAAAGCAAAAACAGACTTTGCATAATTCGAATGATCTTGAAAATATCTGATGTGATCACGTTTATTCTTACTAACACAGCCTGAGCTCTCTTAGGCAGTTTTCTTGTTATTCTTTAAGGAGTTTTTAGGAATAGTTCTCCAGACTTCTTGAAGACATTCAAAGATCTTTGGTTTTGTTGTCTTTTAAGATGATCTCATAATGCTTCAATATATAATAAGGCCCAGGCCCTAAGGAGGCCAGTCCATGACTGACAGTGTTCGATTGTGTGTTTTTCTATGCAGATAACCTTTTAATACATTGGCAGTGTGTTTGGGATTATTGCCATGCTAAAAAGAAAACAAACCCCTTGCCAATCAGATGCTTTCTAGATGGTTTTACATGTAATGTAATGTAACTTTTCTGGGTTCATAATTCAAAGAGTCTAGCTGAAATGCAGACCCGATCATCACAGAGCCTTCACTGTGTTTTACAGAAGGTTGTAAGCACTCACTGCTGTACTGCTCTCCTGACCTCCTCCATACATACTGACAATAATGTCCCTGTTTACCTTCTTTAGAAATTGCTTCTTGACAGCCGCTCTTCCACTGCGAACGTTTCTGATGAGGCTTTAGGGAACAGTACATCTGATTGATCATATGCACCTCTCAGGTCCTATCTCAGGTCTTTCTTTCCTATTTCTTAAAGACCTGGCTTTGAGATGCTACTTATGTCTTGTAGATACTTTTTTAGGCCTGCCACTTCTTTTTGTCCTCCACTTTTCAGGTTTCCTCAAATTCTTTGAGAACGTACTGCACACCATGCTGATATAATCCAGGTTTTCAGCTAATAACTCTGTGAGAATCACATTGTTATTTAATGCCCATCAAACTGTGTTATATTTGCCATTTTTTCAGAGATTCAACTCAAGAAATTGGGCTAAATTATGTTTTGTGACATGCTGCTAGAAAAAAGTACCTTAAGATACAATTTAAAATAGTTTTTTTTCTGTTATTGGTGGACACAACACTGATTTATCCTTTGAGTTAGCTGCCGTTAGCTGTGATTGTTCCAACCGCATACAGGAACACTCATTCCGTTCTTACACAAACTTTAATTGGGCTTTGATAGGAAGTGGCTGACTTCTTTTAAAACATTATTTTTGCTTCATTGTGTTGCCTTTGTTGTTTGTAGTCCTTCAAAGCTCTTCTTTGAATCTTCTCTTCCCCCTCAACTTTGAAAGCGTAAAGGTAGGATGCCCCTCCCACTTCTGTCTGAAGCCCTTTACTATTGAAGAGTCCCGCCTTTCCACCATCACCAAATACTTGCTCATAGGGGTAATCTGATCTGTCTAATGTTGTCTACTATCGTGATTTCTTCAGCCATAATATAAATAACTGTTAGATGACTGTTGATATGAACTGTGTGGCCTAAATTAGGCAGAGCAGTGGTGGTCAGTGCTGTCTAATCGTTGTTGTTGGCTTATGTGGAATTATTTAATTATTTGAAATTTTGACCGTTTTGATTATGAGCAACTACACACATGGTCTAAACTGCCACCTAGTGGTAAGGAAGGAAAATACTGGCACTGCACTTTCTATACAGCTTGTGCAGCAGCACCAGTGCTCAGCTCATCCGAATTCATGAGGGGTCCTTCTGTTGGCAGCTTCTCTCAAGCCTTTTAAATCATGAAACAGATGGAGAGGCAGAGAAGCAGCATGGCCTCAGTTCCTCCCCCTCCTGCCTACCAAGTAGCTTATTTCTCCTTAGCAACTGTCACCTGACCTGCAGTAGTTAGTGTTCAGTGAGGCACACATATGCACACAGATCGCAGGACTGTGTGTCTCAGTCGTTAACTCCTCGACCTGCTTCACAGGCCTCATGGCTTTGGCAATTAATATATCCACAGAGCATAAAAATCTTACACAGACACCTCTGCTCAAGATCTGGGTGCCATGGACTGGAGGCAACTTGAACCGCAGGAGAGGGTGTAAGTTTAGTAAAAGCCTGTCTCACTTTGAGTATGAGATTACAGTACATTATCTTCCCTGATGTTTGTTCTGCCTCTGCTTCAACTTATTTCTTGCTCCAGCAGAAGCTTTCATCAGCATCAAGACGTCCAGCAGTCACAAGTCTGTTTTACACTCTAATCTTTCTCTCCTGTTAATTTTGAACTGAGCTCAGGCCTTTCAGGGGAGACGCGTAGAAAGACAGCAGTGTGAGAGCGACATAGACATAGACACAGCAATGGGATTACAGCCAGCCTAGACCAAACCAGGTCTGAGTTGGCTCTCAGTTCAGTGTCTGGCATGGTCCTTTGAGCTTTTTGCTGACGCTGCATACTCCATTCATAATCGAACAGTCTGGAGGCTAACTCTTTCCATGTCCTCATATGGACATATACACAGGCCATCCGGGTACTTGTTGGGGTACAGCTAGCCGGCAAGCAACAAAGCAGTCCACGTTATAAATTAGTGAACTTTGAGACACAGTAGTATTGAGACTACTGGACCATTCCTTGGTAAGGTAAGATGCATTTATAAAGGCACCTAATGAAGTTTTCCTTTGCTTGCTGCTCCTTCATAAATAATAGGTGACAAAGTCTAAACCAATTTAGGTTTTTCCAGGGAGATTAATATTGTTACATTTGGAAATTCTCGCAGTAGCTGAGCTGAGCTTTAACAACATGCAGGGACATTTTAACATACTTGGAGATTAAAGGCATTTTGTCCTGTCAGCCGTATGGTGCAGTGTGCTTCTCTGGTTGCTTCTAAGATGTGACTACCTAAAGAGGAGAGACGTGTCATTTAAATCTTCACTTTTCTAAAGTTTTATTTAATTTCTGTTCTGCTTTTGTGTCCGTTTGATTTTTTGTGGGCAGTTGGGAAGTTGTTTTGTGCACAGACAAAACCCATGCAACTTACTACACCAACCGTAAACTTGACATTTGAGCAGCTCTGTGAAGCTCTTATTCTCTCTGTTAATGAAAACGACCTCAGCAGCCAGAGACAAAACATGCTCTAGATTGCATGTGACCCACTGAACATGAAACAGATGCTCTAATGCTGAATAATGCAGTCAGCTCACAAGTCCCAAGTGTACCGGAAAGAATTCATTGTGTTTTTTTGTGTGTTTACTTTGTTCTCAGCCTCTGTGCCTCAGTTCTGTAACTCTCCCACAATGATTGTGATGGTTGGATTGCCAGCCAGAGGGAAGACATACATTTCCAAGAAGCTCACTCGTTACCTGAACTGGATCGGGGTTCCAACAAAAAGTCAGTTTTCCAAGTGAATTCTTGAGTCCTAATCATATAAGTGTCAGAAAGAAACAGTTAATTTTTCTCTGTTTATCAACTCCATCAGTGTTTAACGTGGGCCAGTACCGCAGGGAGGCCGTCAAGATCTATAAAAACTTTGAATTCTTCAAACCTGATAACGAGGAAGCCATGAAGATTCGCAAGTAAGTACGCTAAAGATAAACTACTCAAAGGTGCACCTGTTAAACTCATTTAAAACAACAGACTGGCCATTTTTAATATTGACATTTGTAACAATATGTAAGTAACTGAAGAGAATTTTGTAAAATCATGGTGGGACAGATGTGATTTATCTTCATTTTCACACTACACTCATCAATCATTCATATTTTTGCAGTTTTTGTCTCTTTGCATATACGAGTGTCACTTCTCTCCCAGGGCCTGTGCAGCAGCTGCACTCAAAGATGTTGCTTTGTACTTCACAAAGGAACAGGGGCAAGTAGCCGTGAGTAAGAGGACAACTAAAACTGTCCTTCTGATTTTGAAAAAACTTTCTCTATCTATCCCTATCTATCTAATCGTGTCACTGTTACCAAATGATAACACCTGTGTCCTGTCTCATGCAGGTATTTGATGCTACAAACACCACAAGAGAAAGGAGGGCAATCATTCTTAGTTTTGCAATGGAAATGGGCTACAAGGTAATTGCCATTTAAAGCAATTATTT